TTACAAGGGCTCTTGCCATTCCCTTCGAGCCACTTTTATGGATGCATCCTTTTGTCTTAAGCTCCCTCGATTTCATAAAGCCTTCCCATGCCTCCGACTGATCTCTGGAGATGGTCATAATTTTAGATGCAAAGGCACACCACCTGTTTGCTTCAATTCCCTTGATGTTCTACAACAAGACATTTATCACTAATTCACCTTCTTTTTTTCTCTCTCTCTCTCTAAAACGAAGCTCATCATCAATTATCCCACCCCTCATGTTTGTGAGCTGTAACTTCATTTTTGGAAACCTAATTGATTGTGCCCTCAACTTCATTTCTGGGAGCATGATAATTGATGAAAGAAGAATTGAAAATGATTTAAGGAAAGTATATGGAGGAAGTTGCTTGAACACCACTAATGATTTATAACTACAGGCTCTTAGTCATGGTGCTAAGAACCTCTCTCTTTGAGTTTAAAAGCATTGGCTCCACTTGTTTGAGAATATAATTATAATTATTTTTTAAAATATTTTTTATTTAAAAATATATTAAAATAATAATATTATTATTATTATTTAAAAAATTATTTTTAATATCAATACATTTTAAAATACTAAAAAAATATTAATTTAAAATAAAAAAATTAATTCTTTTAAAATACTTTTAAAGTATAAAAATAAATAGAACTTCTTGATATTGTGTTTCAAAAATGAAAAAGTGAGATAAAGGAATTAGAGAGGAATGGAGATGACAGTGGAAAGTTAGGGGTTGTTTGGAAACGTGGTTTGACTTGTATTTTTAAAAAATTTAATTTTTTTTATTTTTGTTAAAATTTAATATGATTTATATGTTTTAATATGTTGATATTAAAAATAATTTTTAAAATATAAAAAAAAATTATTAATATATATATTTTAATATAAAAAATTATTTAAAAAACAATAACTATCATATTATCAAACATACTTTTAGTTTTTATTGAAGAAGAAAGAGAATGACGGGAGAAGAAGGAAAAGTTTCCCATGAAGCCACCAAAAATCAATCTCTCCGGAAAAGTGAGATAAAGGAATTAGAGAAGAATGAAGATGATTATGGAAAGTTAGGGGCTGTTTGAAAATGAGGTTTAATCTGTATTTTTAAAAAATTTAAATTTTTTTATTTTTATTAAAATTTAATATGATTTGTACATTTTGAATCGTTTTGATATACTGATGTTAAAAATAATTTTTAAAAAATAAAAACATTATTAATATACATTCTAATATAAAAAATTATTTGAAAAACAATTATTACTATACGGACAATCACATTTTTAGTCTCTATTATTTAAGAGGAAGGAAGAGAATGAGGGGAGAGGAAGGAAAAGTTTTCCATGAAGCCACCAAAAATCAATCTCTCCATTTTGGAGAGAAAGTAAGGGAAGTATTGAGCACAACTACTCCTGTTTACCTTAAAAACAAATTTCTTAACCACAAAAAGGTTAGCTTCTTCTGGTTTTCTCTGCAATCGTGGCATTGATTTCATTATAAATACATTTCTAGTTTTAATTTAGATAATTAGATCCTTATGATTAATTATGTAACTGTTACTCAACAAGAGTCCTTCGATCTATGGTTAATCTAAATTTTGATTTTTTTATTAAAGGATTTGGGATGTGTCAACTTCTTATTGATTCCAATTTTAGAAAAATTCAAAAAATAAAAAAAATATTTTGTTAAAGTGTTTTCCCAATTTTTTATTTATTTATTTATAGATAGAATATTTTTCAAAAGTTCTTTGCTCACGTAGGAAATTCTTCTACTTTATTTAAAAAAGACAAAAAAAAATGATCATATTCCTTTTTGTTAGTTTCTCGTTAATTAATGCTAGATTTTTCTTTTGATAAGAAAATTGCAGCATTAATTGATGAATAATTAAAGTTCTTAATTATTTCTATCCTAATATTTTTTATTTCGTCTTTGAAAATAGAATGCAAAATCATATAAAAAAATATGAAAAAAAATTAAAAAAATCCAGCATAAATTGATGAAAAATATATAAAAAAATAACATTTTTAAAATAAAGAGAAAAAATATGATGAAAAAAATTCAAAAAAGCAATTCCTAGAAATAAATAAACGCAAATTTTGCAAGAATTCTTAACAACACTTTTTGATTTTCTAATCAGTTTCTCTCTTCTTTTTTTCTTCTTTTTTTCTATAATTGAAACTAATATGAAGATGAACTGTGCCTCCCCTCCTTTTATAAAAACATGTTAACGAAAAACTATAAACGTAAAGATCTTTGGTGCATAAAGGACTAGAATATATGGAATTAATTGCTTAAATTAAAACCATAAGGATGTTTTTTTGTCAAATGGGATCTCAATTGTAATTTAGCTGTTTTCATGCTGGTTGAAATCTAAACTTCTTGTGTGTGGAACGCAGGGGATCACCTAGCTTCCCTGGACAACTTGTTATGGCAGTGAAAGGAATATGAACTCTCATTGCAGATCCATGTCCGTGTCTGGCACTGCACCGGACCTTATAACTTCCATTATAAAAACAGTTGAAGATCCATGTTTTCATGAATATATAATTTCTTAAGAGCTACTGCTATGGATCTAACTCCAAGCCTAGCCCCGTCGACATGGGAGTGCGAGGTTCACAAGTTAAGTTCATGGAGAGGACTTTCCAACACAAGTTAACAAGCCAACCATTCCGTAATTTGGGATTAAATGAAACATTACGTTGTACAAAATACAAATTAACGAGAGAGATATTCCTTTTTATTCGGTACTTCTTCTTCTCTGAGAATTTTTATTCATGCTAATCTATTACTGTATCCACGAGTGCAAGAGGAGCGTGAACATATAGTTTCATGGAGACCCAGTTGTGGACTGAGTTTGAATAGGAGAAGCACAGCACTTGTTGCAGCAGGACCCTCGAGGTGGAGGTGTGCAGCAGACACAAGCTGGACATATTGTTCGGGAGGTTCCGGCGAGACCTACATGCATAAAATTATAAACCAAAAATAATCTGCAGCTGGTCATGAATTCAAAAACAGAAATGAATCGGAGAGAGGACGTTTATGCTTAATTAATTAGACCACGTACCTCGATGATTCAGACGGCCGGCTTCAGCTGATGGTATTGTTGGAGATAGTACCATGGCGAAGATGAAGAGGCTCACCAAAATAGACTTCAGAGAATTTCCTGCCATATCTGTGCCCTGATATTGTTGAAGATATGAAGATGATGTTCTGATAAGATCATGGACTGGCAAAGGATGTTTATATATATAGGCCTGAGGATCTTGGACCTCAACACACGCTGTCAAACATGGTTAACCACACAAAGATCGGCAGAGTCGTGAATGGTTGCTACAGTGCAACTTGAAGGCATCTCAATAATATAACATGTAGCTAAATTTTAAATTTATCCTATAGTGGTTTTTAATTCGAATTTTATAAATTTTGGAGTTATTAAAAAATTATAAAATTAATTAAAATACATATAAATTAATTCAAACACTCACATTAAATTAAAAAATCCAATTGTCTTTTAGTTTATAAAGATTAAATATATAATTCATCAAAATACGAGGATTAAATAATTAGCTTTGCTAAATTATTGGTAAAAGAAGGCAGCTTAAGAATCTTTGACTTATGGATTGATGGTTTTAAATGTCCTTAATAGGCAACTATTGGTCATTAAGTTTATCGAGTCAATGCTCATATTAAAGTTCTACCAGCTTTCTCAGCTTACCAGTGGTCATTAACTGGCACCAAAAGTCAAGTATCTATTAATATTGTCGGAATTCTTTTACTTTGGCTATATGCTTGTGCATGGTGTTTTTCCTTGCTTTGGGAAAAATATTTGGCAAAATTGCACCGAAAAAATAAAAGATTTCAAGAAATAACATGGTAGACACTGCATGTCAAAATGATTTTGAGAAATGTGACATTTTAATAAAATAGTTAAAATGGGTTGTCACACATTTTAAAAAGGGAAAAAAATAAAATTAAATAAAAAATTAAAACATAAGATGTATACTAAAATTTTATTGATGACATTTAAAAATATTGATAAAATAAATCCAATAATATAAAAAAATATATCATAAACAATAACTGGAATGAGACATAATTTATTTAAAGATGGTGAATGATTTATAATTTTTTTGCAGCATGTAATCTACTTTAATTATTATTAGTGAATTTTGATGATATTATTAAATTTATTTTATTAAGATTTTTTTAATGATATCGATAGTATTATAATTATAAGTTTAGTATATTTATGAGTTCTCATTGTTACTTTATTTTAATTTTTTTTCTCTTTATGCCACCTCATTTTAACCATGGTAACCAAATTCTGCTATCTTTCAAAATCATTTTTTCCTGTTCTAATTTGCTATTTTTAAAACGTGTAATTTTTTTTTATATAGTATAGTTTCTGAATCATGATCTTCTATTATATACATTATATACCTACACAACACATATGACATGTATAATCACATATGAAGAAATTATATATTTTTTACATTTATCTTTCTTAATTATATTTAAATGGAAAAAATATACGTGCTCAAGTGATAATTATCAATATTTACAAAATAAAAAAATAAACATAAAATACAGAGAAAAATCATATCTAAGTTTTCTAAAACTGATAAGAATATCTCTCTGTTCCTATATATATATATATTTAATTCTCTTTCTTATGTTTCTCTCTTCTATATAGTGAATTTTAAGACTATAATACAAATAGAAATATAGTATTTTTGAGAAGCGTGCAAGTTTTCAGGAAGGATTTTGATTTTTCTAATATATGAAATTTCATTATAAGCTCTCAATTTTCTATATTTATTTTTTCAATTCCTATATATATATATATATATATATATATTGAGCATGCACCAGCCTGTGTGTTTATAAATAAGCCATCTTTAACCAGTTATTTAAATTAACCTTACATAGGGCAACCTTTTACTATAAAGCGAAGACATCTCATTCAAAATGATGAACACGAATCAGGGAAAGATAATTTCCATGAATCAAAATTTATTACAATTGGAATGAAGAGGCATCATCTCGTCATCCCCTTTTTTCTTTTTGACCCAAAGACGATTACATCTTAAATAAATCAACAAGAACAAATGTAAAATCGCCTTCTCACAAAAGAGAGGCAGCAAATGTCATAACAATAACTTAGGAGACCAAATTAAATACTGCTAAATCATAGCAAATCATGGTGTTCAACGTAGAAACACCTCAAATCCTAGTAGATGGGTTGCTTGGATTGCTTGGATTGCTTGGGTTGATTGGGTGGTTGAGGCTGCTGGTATTGGTGGTGGGAGTGTTCTCTGTGTTCATCCCCAGAGTGCTCTTCACTGCTTCAGCTGCTCCTTGAGCCATGTTCTTCACTTGCTCCCCGGTCTGCAAACAAATTAATACATTAATCGCATTATTCTTACGTACTCTTAAAATATAAAAATAATACAACTAATATTTGCCGAACCATTCCAAATAGAATCAAGGGCTCTAATCTCTTTTGGTTGTTTTTCGAAAGAAAAAAAAGAGAGAGTAATCTGTAACAAAAACATGCTCTTGTACATTCGTGAATTGCTTGAATATGATAATAATAATGATGATGATGGCTGTTGTGGCGATAAATAATGGCAGTATAAAAGCATAAAATAGAACAAAGAAGTTATGCCTGATGTAGAAAGCTGGAAGCTTGGGCAGTATAGGAACTGTCTTGGGTGGATTGGTTAAGCCCTTCCTTGCACTGGTTCATAAAATCATCCTTCTTCGCCTGTAAAGAAAAGTAGATTAAATAACGTAAAAATCAAGTACATTATGGTGTGTAAAACGAGGAGATTCTAACTCGTATATATCTAATTAATAGAGATGAAGCATAGCAGTTTTTAGCTATCATTCCTGTAAAATATGCACAAAAAGAAACCAGGAAGTCACCTGAGCTTGACCGGTTAGTTCGCCGGCGTTGTAAGTGATGTCATTACCTCTGCTATCCATTCCCTTTCTTTCTTACTTCTTTTATGGATGATTTAGTAATGCAAATTGCTTGAGGAAATGAAGAGAATGGAGTGAAATTTATAGACAAAAAAGAAAAGAAAAGTGCACTTCCCTCGCCACGTAAAGTCCCCAAATCACATGGGCTTATAAACACGTGTCGTGATATAACAGTTTGATCATGGGGCGTGGAATGTTTAAAAGGAATTTGCTCAGTCAATTGGGAGAAACCCTTGGCTTAGAGTACGGATAAAGCTCGGCTCTACTGATTAAATTGTTATCTCTACACGTACACTTAGGGGTGCTTAAATGCCTTAATTATCTGACTAAATAGTGGATTTAATAAATAACAGTGAATAAAAAAAAATAAGAAATGGATGTAACGGGTTTTGTGATTAGTGGGATTTTTGAAAATCGATTAATTTGATTTAATTTGTATGTTTTATATTTTTCTTTTATTTATATTTGATAGTTTGTAAATTATTTTTTATTTTTTATTTTTTTAGAAATTTTTTGATGTCAAAATTTTTATTAGTGGATTTTTTATTAGATTTATTTAATATAACAAAAAAAACTTGTTTTTTTTTGTTGCAGGAGAAAGTAGAAATAACTAAAATTTAATTTAATGGTGATGTAAAGTATAGAAATTAGAAGGAACACTGGGAGTGTCATGACATCTACATTTTATGATGCAAGTCTTTCTCTAAATAAGAACTAATAAAAATTAATAATATAAGCACAACCCGTAAATATATATAATATCCATAAAAAATCGAACCTAATCCATTATATCCAATTCATCTGGATCTAAAACAAAAATAAATTAGTTGAGTTTAAAATTTATATAATATAAAAAAATTAGATTAAATATAATTATAAACTCAAACCTCGACTAATTATATTCAAGCACACTCAAATACTTTTCCAAAATTCATCATGTGTCTTGTTAGACTATTTATCTTAAAAGAAATGAGAATAAAATTCATGTTCTAATTTCTAACACATGATTCTAACTCAATATTTACTAGTTTGTCACTTGAACTAAAATGACGTGCAGTTTAGTGGGATAATAAAATTGAAAGTCCACCATGCAGCTCCACCGCTACCCTTTTCCCACTAGACAGATTAAACAAGAGGTGTTTGCAGGGATAATAACCATATCTTATGCAAGTTTTTCTTCACTTATTTAATTAAAAAAGAGTATAGAGCTTTTTTATTATTATTAATTATTAGTTTGTGTGTATCTTAATTAATTATATATATTTTAAAGTTAATAATTATATAAATATTTAGCAATTTTGAGGTTTATGAAACTAAAACTAATAATTTTTTAAAAATAAATTTAAGATTTGACTAATTAAATTATACTTTTTAATTTTGTTTTTTAATTATAGAGATGGAGGTAAGTAGAGGTGGATTAAATTGTTTTACCTTTAGGGTATAATAATAGACACGGTATCATTTGAATTATATATATAATTTATTATATGTATTGAGAAAAATATGAATTAATTCACTTTAAAGAGATAAATGACTTATCATCCCTTTTTTTTTCCAATTTGTTGAAAAAATGAAAACACACATGTGTCATTGCGTGATTATTATCTCAAATTTTTATTCTTACAGTAGTCTTCTAGAAAAACAAAAGGCTTTAGCATACAAGTGGATTTATAGAGAATCAAAGAGATATTAATTTATAATTTTTCCTACAAAATGTATTATTTTTATCTGAAAATGAGTATTTAAATGTTTTTCTTAGAATTATTTTCCTTTCACCAATAAGATTGACAAAGATTAAAAAATTTAGTTTTTTTCTAAACATTAATTTGATTTTTTAAAAATATTTTTGAAAAAACACAGCTATGTGCATTTCATGAGAAGGGAGAGATTCCAACACACACAAAAGAAGAAAAAATAATTAAAAATATTGTATTTTAGTTTGGACTTGGGTTTAGAAAATTACGAAAAAAAGAAAAGAGAAAATGATATTTGAAGATAGAAATTATTTTTTGGAGGAGAAAATTTATGTTGCCCGAGAAAGCAAAATGAAAATTTTTGATAAATAAATATAAATTTTTAAAATTAAATAAAAATAATTTTCGACTTCCCAGCGAAAAAAAAAACTAATAAATTCTATTCGCAAGCAAATCAAACAGCAATGCATGAAAACTCCAAAAGCGTAATCTGCTGACACGTTCGAATTCAATGTGCTCAACGAGCACGTGCCACTACCTTACGGGCAGTGTCTTCTATAAAAATCATCAAGCCGACACATAAAGCAGGGATTGCTCACAAACGCGAGGCACGTACCCTACAAGTGTCAGCAAAGAAGGAC